TATATATATATATATATATATATATATAACTTGATTGATTGATGTTAATCCGTCCTAGTTTGATAAGACTTGCTCATTCGCCTTCAATGAATTAGGTTTGTCGGTTGGCCATATGTGGTCTTTAGGCTAGTGAGACTTGACTCGGCTGGCTTGATCATGACGGTCGGATATACTAGTCTCATTGCCAACTACTGATCCCTAGATAAGAAGCTTCTATCAGTAGAGCAAGGCTAGGTTATCAGACTAAGTGTGAATCATCGTAATCTGACATGTAGCATACTTCTCAAAAAGGTAGTCCTTCAAGGATGCTCGTTGTAGTTATATGTTGGCTAATACTTGGCCCTGGATGAGAGATCTCAAAGGCATACGTAAGATAGCTGAGATTTTGAATTCCTTCCTTGTGTAAGTTTATGATAGGAGACAGGTCAATGTGTTTGCTTAGCCCGATGAGTAATAGCCTTTAGTTCGATTTTTAACTGAGGCTTAGGAGGTTACACTTGGTCAGGAAAATCTTTTAGCATTCCACTAGCGAACATTGAGCCTTCTGATGCTGACAATGCTCTCTATGGACTCTTGATCATTCATCTATGAGCCTTGGTCCTCTACCTGTGTCTCTTCCTTAACTGTACTCTACTATACTTTTTGTTTATTGGAATTTCTCAATATTTGTGCAAATGCATATCTAATATACATAATTAATCTCTCTAATTTTCTTATCTCTTTGGAAGGCAAGTGTGAAAAGAATAGAAGATTTATAAAATGAAACTAATGCTGCTTGTCTTTCCGAAAATGTAAGTTAAAACTTTAGCTAAGGTATATTATGTAGTGATTTTGAATGTTGTTCTAATGCCGAGGGACTAAATGGGGCTAAAAAGACTAATCTATTGATTTGAGATGCTATCACCTAACCCAAGTCATACACCTCCTCAGTCGCTCAATTAGGTTGTCACATTGGACATCTCGCTCGTTACGCCAGATATATTAAGCAGATATTGTCGTAGTTTTTACGGGAATAACCGTCAAGACTTTTTGCTATGATGAATTGAACATTGCTCATCATGAATTTTGTCGTTAATGGGCAAGGAACCACCTCCAAAGCTTGATTTGTGCCAACCTAAGAGACAATTTTTTTATTATTGCTTGAGTGTTGTGGAATGGATAACCGAGTAGCAGCAATAAAATGTTGACCACTTCTCCCTTAAGTTTTGAAAACAAACTTGTTAAAGGCAAGTTTACCGAGTGTTTGTGGCAAACTCATAATATGCAAATTAACACATAAAGAGGCTTACGAGATATTGTGCTTGAAGTGCCATCACAAGACATGTTTTTTTTTTTAACTATTTTTCTAGCCGCATGTAGATGGTTTAGTGGAGATGGCCGAGCAAATGTGGATGGGTTCATGCAACCGTGTGGGGAGGTTGAGTGTTGGTAAGATCAACTCAGTCAACAGAACTGGATCGGTCATCCATGCCAGGTTAGTAATTCAGGCTACAGTTCATAGAAGCAGCAGATCGTCCAAGCTGCAGGTTGTCCTGGTTGCAAGTCATCCAGACTGCAGATCGTCTAGATAATAAGTCTTCCAAGCAGCTGATTGTCTCAATTTGTGAGTCATCCAGGATATGGGTTGGCCACACTAAAACTAAGTTAGCTGGAGTTAATCGGTTGTGGTTTGGAAAGGCTTGCTTATTCGCCTTCGTTGAATCTATGTTGCTGGTCGACTCTTGATTGTCTTTTGGTTGACGAGACATGACTTGATTGTTTGATTATGTAGGTTGGTTATAGTAGTTTGGTTGCCTACTATTGATCCTTAAATAAAAAGCTCCTACTGGCAAGGTATGGCTAAGCTATTAGTCCATCACAAGGTGATTTTTTGGGGATGCTAAGTGTTGTTATATGATATCTAGTTCTTGGCATGGGAAGAAAGGTTTTTGAGTTATCTATGAGATAGTTGACGATATTAAATTCTTCCCATGAGTCGGGTAATGACGGGAGACCAGGTCGATTTCTCTGCTTGGCTCGAAAGGTTTTAGTCTTTCGCTCGAATGGCCTTCGCTTGACTGACCTTCTACCCCAGCTTAAGGGTTTACACCTCTTCATACAAGTCTTTCAACATTTCGCTAGTGAATGCTTAGCATGCTGATGCTGGCCCTTACTCTTCCGTTCGTGAGCCCTTGGTCCGTTTGTGGGACCTTGTTCTTTTATCTGTGGGCCCTTTTTAATTCTACTTGTATGAACTTTTTGTTAGTCAGATTTTCTCGTGCTAACGCGTATCTGTTGTGTGTGTATTTATATTTATATGTATATTCTTAATTTTAAAATAATTCTAATACTATTGCCTTCTATCCAGATGTAATTTGTAGAAGGATATCCTAATGTATTTTCATATCAATATATACTTCTTCCTGTGAGAAAGAAAAAGCTAAATTTTATTTCATTTGGGGTAATTACGGATTACATAATTTTTTTGGATTTTTAAGGTAGTATAATTGGTATACTTTCATATAAATATAAAAAGGTGAACTTATTTATTTGGCTAAAATTATTTTTTCTAAAATAAATTTAAATAAAAAAGAATCTCGGAATTTATATACTAAACGGGGAATTAAAATGCAAAAAAATAATGATGCATCATTTCTAATCAATGAGAAGATATTACGTCTAGAGCCAGAAGGTAGAGTTACATCCGGACTCTACAAGTGTCAAATATATAACATATTATTTCAGTTTAAAAAATAGAGAAGCCTGAGGCTCGACCCAGTCATGGTATACAACATTATTGTATTGAATGTTTTCCTGAACACAACTATGTTGTACATATTACCTTTTCATCGATATATTCATTTGGTTGTTTGTTTACTTAGTATAATATAGTTGTACTCAAGAAAAATATCCAGTACAACCATGTCGTACACCATGACCGGATTCGAAAGCTTTGCCCTTATTTATTACCATGCCCAACATGATTATACTAGAGATTTTATAGAGTACAATCATGTTGTACACTATAGATTTCAGATAAAATTCTTTATTTGTATGCTTTTTTATTTAGTACTACATGATTGTACTGAAGAAAAATCTCGAATATAATTAAGTTGTACATCATGATCTGGTCTGGTTCAGGTTGTACTGAAAAAAAATCTAATTAAGTTGTACATCATGATCTGGTCTGGTTCAGGCTTCTTAATTTTTTAGATAAATAACATTTTATATATTTAACGTGTTAAATCTTAATTATAGTACGCATGTACGATAATATTTTCCCCTAGTTAACAGTTTTAGCGAAGTTGTTGACTGAAAAGAATTAGTACTTACCAATAGCACAGCTTTGATAGTGTTGTTGGTAAGAGAAATATCCAACTCCCCTTGATTCTGAAGTCTGAACAAAACATCAACTATATCCTCGACAGCGTCATCTCTCTTGAATTTCCTAGCTCGATGCTCCTCCAAAATCTCATCCAAAATCTCATCCAGTTGTTGATGCACTCTGTCCAACCGAGCCTTCGAACCAGTGAATTTGCTAATGAACTTCAAAGATGGGAAAAGATCTACAATACAATATCAAATCCCGACAAGTCAAATCCCGACAAGTACTTAGACGCGTCTCTCATTGCACTTAGAAAATTTTTCTTTTGAGCGATGTCCCTCCCGAATACCGCACGAGAAACAGTCGTTCTCGTCAAAAATACAAACATCTCGGTAAGGTTCACAGGGGATCCCCTCGCCATGCGGATCTTATTCACAATGTTTTCTCCTTCTTCCTTCCTTAAGAAATTGAAAGACTGGACGCGCTTGGCGTTGAGTACTTCAACTGTGCATATCTTGCGTAGCTGTGACCAGTGTTTACTGTAGATAGAAAAGCCGATGCTGGTGCTATCATAAAAGAGGATTTTGGTGGCAAGGAACTCTGGTCGTGAAGCGAAGTTGATGTCATGGGTCTTCATAACCTTGCTGGCAACTTCTGAGGATGTGACGACTATATGATTTACTTCTCCAAGTTTGAGGAGAAGCAGTGGGCCATACTCATTGGCAAGGTCACGCAACCTTCGGTGAGGATGGTCACCGAGAAGCTGGAAAATGTTTCCTATAATGGGGAGTTTCGTTGGTCCTGGGGGAAGCTTAATAGTCTTGGAGAATTTGGAGGATTTAATCTTCTTCAATATAAAGAAGAGGAAGATGCAGAGGATCAGCGGTAGAATTTGGCATAAGCTTAGTGATTCCATGTTTTATTTCTTGTTTTGGGAAAGAGCTAAGTGAGTGAAAACTTTGGAAATGCTTTCGTATTAATATACATCAGAATATATTTTCATAATTAAAAAATAAATTAACACTTGCATGCTCAAAAATGATTTGCACGGATCTCAAAGTAATCCAATAATTGGCCACCTCATTTGAGTCGGCCGACCAAGCTCTCTCCCTCACTTCAGTCGACCAACCAAGCTCTCTCCCTTGACCACCTCACTTTAGTTGATTGACAAACATGAACATGAAAGTCTGCATCGATCTCAAGACAATCCAATGGCTAAAATAAAAAGGACGAAAACGCCCTTTGCATATATCTTCAAAATCAAAGCCAAATATGTAATTTTTTGTGCAGTGGACCCTGACATGTTGGTTGGCATCCACAAAATATGACCCCTCAGGTCGGGGGTTCGAATCCGCTCTGACACAGTTGGTCATAAAGAGCATTAGAGATTGGTGGAGCCTTCTGTCCTGTCTACCCCTCATTTCTTTTATAAATAGGAGGGCTTCATTATATTCATGATGGACCTTTTTAGGGGCACCCCTCAGTTGTAACCTCTAATTTTATGGAATAAAATGAATCCACGATTCTAGGAACACCTCATCTCCCCTGTCTCGGGGAAGACCTCCTCTCTCTCTCTGGCTCTCTCTCTCTCTCTCTTCTCTCTCATTCCCCCCACTCTCTAGATCACCTCTCATCGGTCAAACACTCAATTTTTTTGGCACGATCTACCCGACAAGTTTGAATTCATCAACAATTAAAAAAATTTTATTCAATTAATACTTAATTAATAATTTTAAAAAATCATAGTTATCCAATTTGTAATAAAATTCTTCATATTTAAAAGTTATATCTTAAAAATTTTCCTTTGTTTGACTTTTTTTTATTGTATAAAAATAACAATAAAATATATTTATGTTTTATTTTAATTATCCCTTGGGCCGGCAAATATGTCACAAAGGATAGTTTCTCATTTTTTTTTTTACTGATTTGAATTCATCATTTTGTTTTTCAGATCATTATATTTAATAAATAAGACCCAACAAGATAAACTTTTCAGACAACACCAAAAATTTAATAATTTTAAAATTCATCCCACATAGCTGTAAAATTTGACTTCATATTTCAATGCTATCCCTCTGAAATTTTACATTGATTTAAATTTTTTATTATCTTATATGAAAGGCTGTTAGTATCTTTGCTTAAGCAAATGGACCAATACATATATTATAAGTCACCTTCATGGCCAACTAGCTTTTACTTGGGCCCCACTTTTGATTGAACGTGGCTTGAGTCCGAACAGTTTCAATATTTACTGAAATGAAAAATGCAACAGTTACAATCTATACTTAAATCAACCCACAAAAAAAAATTACAAAATGTTCATTCTGAGAAGAAGAGTAATCCATCCAAGATCTTATGTAGTATTTTATTTGTATTTGAATGATAATATTGTTTATTTTTTATTTATTTTATTGGTGTGTGTCAATGTCCTATATTTTTAATAATAACGTGTCCTCATGTCCATCGTATTCGTGGACTATGTATTATCAATTTATACATGATATGAAAAGAGGAAAAAAGTTAGCTATGAATTTGCTGGCAGCAACAAGATCAATAACCAAAAGTCTGAATTAACTCTTCACGGATCCGGAGTCCGGATACAAAATTATGTCCGAACAATGGACGCGATATACTGGATGGAGAGGAGAAGAAAAAAAAACCCGCCCTCGGTTTATCTCGTTCGTTGTTTGGACGTGGCTGACGTCCGAACTTCGAACGCAATATTTTTTTCTCACGGAGAGATCTTCAATGATCCATTCCCTCAAAATGTTAGTTATAAGAATCCAATGCCGATAAAAACTTTACTGGAGAAATTTTGAGAGAAGAAAATATCTAAAAGCTTAGAGTTCATATAGAAGGTCCTAATATTTTCATTTCCTACCCTTCAAATTAATAGCCAATGAACATTATTCACAGCGACTCAAGAAAGGTGGAAGTGTTTTGTAAAAATTTTGGTTGTTGAATCATAAAGTGTCCGGTGAATCACACCAATGAATAAAGTGTATAAAGAGAAGTGCGTAAGAGAGGAAGCAGAAGTGAACTGTAAAAAGGAGAGCACCTAGAGCTTTCCTTCATGAAATGATTTCCTACTTATTGGTGTAAGAGATACCTTTTGTACATAATTTACATCTAAGGCCCCTTCTACACAAAGAAGCTTAGGTGTGTGGTCATTTGTACAATATATAAATATTTTAATTAAAAAATTACTAGTTGGTTATGATGAATTTTGGTCGTCGGTACACGATCATTCGTTTGGTGATGAAAGATTGAATCACCTGAGTACATAGTGAAGACCTCTCGATCAAGCTTATTCACGACATTGCCTCAATCTTCTTCCAGTCACTCTCGTTTGTTCGACGGTGATTTGTCTTTCGTTCGACTTGCACAGAGATGTCCTTCATTCGGCTTGGTGTATAGATCCCTTCGTTCGACTTAATGTACATCTGTCCTTCATTTGGCTTGCGATGTCGGTCGACTTGCCTACTGAAGGGAGTGACTTGTCAGAGCTTTGAGATAATTTTCTCTCAACTTAGCATCAATTACTCCATTAAAAAAAGATATGTTTGACTAGATCTATATGTACTTTGACTGTGGGTCTGTCTTATTTGTTGTGTATCTATATTTTATATGGATTCGTGCTGTCATGATCCTGTCATACATATTTGGTTCCTCAATTGTCTTGCTTTTTGAAAGCGGTAAATACGATAAAAACAAGAAAATCAAATTCTACATTAAATTCATTTGTTTCATAAAAAATATTTAATAATCAAACTCACAGAATGTCTTGTGCACTATCATCCTATAAATATACTGTTACAGATGACCCTCACTCTCGTACTCTCTTCCTGTACAGAGATTTGTTCATTCCTTGTTGAAGGTGTTCCCATGGCGAGTGGTAGGAATGTCTATCTTGGCAAGCCATCTGATGATATTCCAATGAAGGTGTTAGGACTAAAGGATGAAAAAAGTTCATCCCTTGAGTATTCTTGCAAAAATTCATCATCCCGAGGATGGTGTGGTTGGTGACTGAGGAAAACATCCCGAGGGAAAAAAACCAACCAAGAAGAGGCAAGTGAAGCAGCTTGCATTCAAGAGTAGGAAATTGGATTAGTGTGATGACAATGATGGGAACAAATTGTCTGATGACGTACCCTTGTTGCTTTGGATATATGGCAAGGTTTTGATTGTTTCCCCTGTTGGAAAATAGACCAATCTTGATAGATAGGACGGAAAGGACATCTGCAAATCTTTTGGAGTTATGCAGCCAGGGGATAAGGATGTGTCGAGTCCTTCTCATATTTGAGGGATGAGAGCTACGGGCACTCCACCTACGCCTGGTGAGAGTTTCTTGACTTTGGTCTAGTCTGAGCTGGACTGGCTCCTTGGTATGAGGAGTTTGGTTGTTTGACCCACCCACTCGTTGGTTTAGTGTGATTTTGCACTTCAACTTAACTTGGTCTCTTTTTATTGTGCAGATGACCCCATTCACGTTTGCTACTTGCTAGAGGCTGTCGAAGGTCGAATCTCAATCCTTGAAGACTGTGGAGAACCCATCAATGATTGACGAAATGGAGTCGACTAGCTCTATGGTTCGCCGTTTGGATGAGACTATAGGTTTATTTCCTTTTGAAGTTGAGGGTCGGAAAGAAGTTAAGGCTAAGTTAGAGGCCAAGAGAAAGGAACTAAAGATACAATTGGATGCCCTCTCTGAGAAGCTATCAGGTGAACTTCTTAATCTTTGAGTGGACGTGGCAGACCATCAGACCAAAGTTGTGACTATCCAAATGGTGACTGTGAATCTGCAGATGAACTTAGCTAATGTAAGGGATGCCTGCTCAGTCTCTCGATTTCAATTTGAGTCCAATATTTTCGATAGTATTAAGTTAAGGGGTCGAGTTTTGTATATGGAGTTGCTGAGGTGAGGGTTGGTTTTGCCTTAGGTGGTCGACGTGCCAGGTGTAAAATTTATCATGTCTAAATAAATATATGCTTGAATTTCCTATATTATAGTTTTCTTATTTATTCAAATATTTTATTTTTTCTATCATGTGATGTTGAGTTCTCATTTTTAATGTACAATCAGTGGCATTTCAACTTGTCTTCGAGTCCTATATGTAGGGTTGATGCCCTTTTATGACTTCATTTTTCCCTCTCCATACCATTAAGTCATTTCTTCTGCCTTTGTTCTTTCGTTTAGAAACCACATGACTTCCAAATATTTTTCCTAGGCATTCAGGATAGTGCAAGTGTAAGAGCACTCCTTGTTGACTTATTATGCGGCTTCAAAGCTCCAAAGTAGGTACGTATATGATGCTGACATTATACTAGAGTCCCATGACCTGAATGATCGAGCAACTGATGATTATGGAGGATGGATGATGCTGTTGTGACCAAGTCATTTAAGGACATTACCTTCCTCTCTGTTGCGAGCTCCAAGCTATTATGATTCATTATGGTGTTTTCCCGACTCCACTCAAGGTGAATTGCATAGTTGTGGTCATTACCTTTGTTGTTCTATTTAAGGATGGAGATCCCTTAGTAACAAGTACATTTTTCTCACATGTTCACTTTCAGGTTTGGCCTATATGGCTACGTGGATTTTTCTTTAAACAGAAAGTTTCGGTTGATTGACCATAAAATAAGGTCAAGAACTGGAAGTATCATTTTATTCTAGCTTTAACAAAGGACAAGGGAATCTTACTTGCTTGTCTGGTGAACCATATAAATGATAAAACATTTCTTTTCACATCTAAGGTTTGGCATCATCCATGGAAGGAAAAAGCCATTCCGCAGTCCACTATACTTGCAAGGATACAATTCACAGGGGTTTTAATCCGAGCAATTAAGTCCAAATGACCAAGGAATTATGGGTAGTTTCTGATGTCGAGGAGGAAAAATAGCACCTTAAAAAGGTGT